GAATTCTGCTGGAAAGTTGCTTGTGCGTGGGTATCAGGTTCAGGTTCACTTGTGATGCCTCTACAGACAAAAGGGCCTCTCACACAAGTTTCTCAAAAGAGAGAGTATTTTAGAAAATGTACTAAAAAATAAATAAATAAATTGGAAGATTGTGGAAGAAAGGTGTAGGTAGATATTGACTTCCTAATCGCAGAGGCTGAAATCTAGAATCCTGTTGCGGCAACATGTTGAAAAGCGCTAAATCAAATACAAGGATGCAAATACATAAGTACTTTCAGACCAATGTTCTGGATACCAATTCAGGAATGGAAATTATATTGGCTTTCTACCCACCCCCACGCCCTCCCCAAATCCAAGGATGTTGAAGTCAGTTGTATCCCCTTCAATCTCCAGCTGGAGAGCTTGAGTTTATACATGGCTTGTTTGATAGTGGCATTTATGATAGTGGAGCCCTGTAGTTCAGTGGTTAGAGCACTCGCCTCGCAAGCAAGAGACCTCGGCTTGATTCCCGGCAAGGCGAAATGTTGGGCAAGTTTCCTTACTCCACACGCCTCTGTTTACCTAGCAGTAAGTAGGAACCTGGTCATTAGTTGATGGATGGATCACATTTCCGGGGGTAATAATTTCTTAAAAAAATAAGTAAATTGGTCATTCAATCCACGACTGTTTGTGGAGCATTGTTGTGCGCAATTGGTTGCTGTGTTTCACCCACAAAATATACAGTCAATTCACTTTACAGTATATTTTGTGAAGCGCTATTGAGACGTCTCGAAGATGTGATAAGGTGCTATATCAAATGCAAGGATTATTGTTATTCATTGAATGAAATGTTTAAAACTGAAGAACGGGTGAATGATTGTACATCCCATGACCCTTAACAGTTTTGTTAATATTCTCTTCCAAAAAAACTCTTCCCACAGTTCGTGACTCTGTATATTCAGGTTTTCAAAAATGCACAATACGATCAAAGTTTGATGTGAATTTGTTTTGCTTTTGGTTAGCAATCTTTATTAATAATGAAAATCTTTACATTTGGAATAGTAACTTTCACTTTGGGTGGACGCCCAAAGTGCTTCATGGGACATACTGTAAGGTGCAATGACTGCGTGATTTATTAATGTAGGGTTTGAGAGAGGAGACTGAAACCAAATTACTTTCATCCTCTTGTGGGTAAGGCCCATGGAATCTAAACTTCCCATAATTTAATAGGATAGAAGCTCTTAAGTAGTTGTAGAAATTTGTAATATCCTTTTAATTTCCCCAAAATGGCTTGTTCACAAATTTCAGTTTTGGAATTAGTAATAGCTTCCCATTTTATTCAGAGGTTTTCTTTTTGGGAAGTATCTTTTAGTGATTTGCATCAGGATGTCTAATGGGCTCTACACTGCAATGAGTGATGTGAAGAGGATCTTTTAAAGCTGCTAGTCAAAGACTACGATTACTTAACTGATTTATTTTAGGCCAGCAAGCTCGTTGTATGGTGACTTAACCGTTTTCTGCTCCCAACATCCACATGGGTTAAATTCTTGAGTCAATGTTATGCCTATAAAATACACAGTCAAACCCAGTAAATCAGTAAATTCTGTGAAGTATTTTGAGACATTTCGATGATGTGATAATGTGATAAGGTGCTATATCAAATGCAAGGTTTTTTTTATGAGTTGGCATCTTGGCTCGGTTGGTGGCACTTATGTAGCTGGGTCAGAAATTTGTGGGTTTAGGCTCTGCATTACGACTGAGCTCTCAGTCTATGCTGACACATCATTGCAGTGCTGTAGGAGCACTGCATTGTTGGAGAGATGCTGTCCTTCAGATGAGATGTTAAACTGGGATTCTGTTTGTGTGTTTAGGTGGATGTTACGAGGTATATAACCCTTGGAGTTCTGTAGCTTAGTGGTTAGAGCACTCGGCTCGCAAGCGAGAGGATCTGGGTTTGATTCCCGGCCTCCAGCTGCACCTTAGTGTTGTGCAAACATTTGCAAAAATAAGTTCTGGTTGCGTGCTTTGTTTTCAATGAGAACCACCTCCACATTCAGCGTTGAAGAGGTGCCTATGATAGAATCTACAATAGGCTATTTTCTGTGTGTAATTTCTGTTATTTACTAGCCCACAGTGAAACACGTCAAGTGCACTTTCCAGAAGTTGGTGCTCAACAACCTCATTTGGTTTACACAATAAACAAACACAGTTCCCAATGAAATGTTGTCATTGACCATTCACTTCATGGCTGTTGTGGGACATTGCTACACATAAAATTGTCTGCTGCTTTCGCCTACAAATACACAATCATTGCACTTTGCAATAAATGCTGTGAAGCGTTTTGAGAAGTTTTGATGACTGGATAAGGTGCAATTTCAGATTTAATGCCGCATCCAGAATGTCGCCCAGAGAAGTTGCCGTCAAATGTCTTGGGTGTTGCTTCATAGCTGCGCAATATCATTTAAAATAACAAGGGCTCCAAGATTTCTCCACACACCCCCCCCCCCTCAAATCCAAGGACGTTGAGGTCAATTGTCAAGGAGGGCAGATAATGGATTCTCACCATTTGGTATGACGGCTATAATCTCAAGTAGTCAAGGCAGAGGAGGCTGACAGTAATGGGATGAACAATTCTGAACAATCCATCAGCTGTTCCCACGGAGCAGCTACTAACTTTTGACACAAAATCAGAAAGGAAATGGGAGGAAGCTCTGTTTTATACTACTAGGAACAATAAATGTAGGATTTAAAGATAGAGGTTAGGAAATGTTATCACCATGTTCAAAAAAAAAAAAAGTAATGAGACGTGAATCAAGAAATGACATAAGCCATTTAGCCTAAAACTGGTAGTAGAGTAAATGCTTGGACATGTCGACAAAATGGAGGCCATACTTTTTGTGTTCCATCAACGTCTTCTCTGCTGTGAGTCTGAACTCCTCAACCTCCCTGAGCTCTCCCTCAGACTCACCAAACCCCTTCGCAACTTAGGCGTCAGGTTCAATCCCCAACTTTTCTTTCTACCCCACATCTATTCCCTGACCAGGACTGCTTTTTTCCACCTCTGCCACATTGTCCACCTTTGGTCCTTACCTCACAACTGACACAGCTGAAGCCCTCATCCATGCCTTTGTCACTTCCCTCTAGACTATTCCAATGCCCTCTCGCTGGTCTTCCCAGCTCCACCATCCACAAAATCCAATTAATTCAAAACTCCGCCACCCGGAAGCTCACCCGCACAAAACTCTGTACCCCCATCACACCAGTTGTTGCCAGACTCTACTAGCTCCCACTTACTGAATAGATCGATTTCAAGATTCTCACTCGTTTTCAAATCCCTTCATGCCCTCGCACCTCCCTACTTATCCAACCTGCTTTACCCCCCACCCCACCACCTGCTGGCTCCGGCCTCCTTTTTGTCTCTTGTCCCCTCTGCTCCACCATCGGTAACTGTGCCTTCAGCCACTGCGCCCTAGAACTCTCTCCCTCCATCCCTCTGCCTTGCCCCTCCCTCTCCACTTTCAAATCCCGCCTAAAGACCTTCCTTTTTGATCGTGTTTCCGGTCACCTCCTCCCTCCCTCTCCCCATGGCTTGGTGTGAGACTTCACCACTGTCAAGCGCTCCTGGACCCTACCCTGTGTGAGGGAGCGCTATATAAATGCGAGTTGTTGTTGAACATGTAAGATGCTTATTAGACGGCTGATGAATCATGGAAATTACTTTCTTACTAGGCCAACCCGTTCCATCTTGCCCAATTTAGCGTAAAATAAATACAAATGTAATAACATTTTATGGTAATAACATGGACAGTGTTAGTGTAGTATCTGAGTGCTATCCAGACCTGCTAATAATAACAATATCACCTAATGTATCATTTTTCATTTATAAGTCAACATTTCAGTTTTATTTACCCTGTCTTTCTCTCTTCCACTTTCCCTAATTTGCATCTTTATATAAATGCAGGTTGTTGTGGTATAACTTTACCTTTTTTTGTAGATAATCTGATTCATAGAATATCTTCTACCTCTTCTATCCTTTTCTCTTCCCAACACTCAAAATAACAAGGTTGGAGGCAACTTCTAGAAGTTTCGAGAAGAACTTAATGTTTGCTCTACTGTTAAGACTCAGAAAAGCATGTAGTTGATTGCAGATGTCAGCCTAGCTCAGTTGGTAGCATTCTCGCCTTGCAGTTGGAAAGGTGTGGGTTCAAGGCACACGTAGACAGACTTTGACCTCACTTAGTCTAAGTGACACGGAGCTTTGGTTTCCGCATGTGTCAGACACCCAGCTGACCAAAAAAAAAGGCATAACAAATATTTTTAAAAGGACTACAGGAATTGCACAGTACATCCAATTATGGTTACTAACATACAGAAATTAGTGTGAGTGTAGTATCTGTGAGTAATATCCTCCTGCTGCTCCTCCACCACTCTGTTCAGTCAATCAGTCTTATTCTCTTTTTATAAGCAGCATGTCACAACTAGCAATGCATTAGATACTGGTACGAAATTAGATCTTAAACCACAGACCTGCAAAAAAATGTGGCATTCCAAAACCTAATAGGCAGGCTCAGTATTGCCTGTTTGTTTTAGATTGCTTAGCAACATTAAATTCATTTTAATTGTAGCCTGGAGAATACAATTTGCTGTTGTGGCTGTAGAGAATAAAAACATTTTTGAAAAGATTTATAACTTCTCTGTCTCTGCAAAAGAGTCCTCAGTGTTACAAATTTAGCACCTTGATTACTCACTCAAACAGTAACAATTGAATGCAGACTAGTGTTGTGAGACCAGTATGAACACAAGACAATTTTCTTAAGTCCGTTTGTTATTCTGGGGGATCTGGTGGACACATTGCATGAAGGACCATCCTTTTTACCACTTTGAGATCTGGATTTGAATCCACCCAAAACTAATGGGATAAAGGTTTCCTCTTTTTGCTGACAAAGCTGTGTGAAAGATGTTTGGGTAGTGTGAATTTAGTCCACAATGCATAAATTGACACTGATTTGAATCCTCTTTAGATGCATCGGAAGGATGGCTATGGTGGGAACTGGAAATATCCACACTGATACAGTGAGTCAAGGCAGAGTTAGGATAACCTTTCTCAATGAGAAAACAGGCTGCCACGTTTGCCTACAAAATACAGTTACTACACTTGATAGTAAATCCTGTGAAGCACCTTGAGTTGTTTTGTCGACGTGATGAGGCACTTATATCAAATGCATGGGTACATTATTTAGTATTGCAAATTATAGATTTTCTCTGACTGTGATACTGTTTGGAACTCTGCTGTATCAATGTATTCAGATTATTGTAAATTTATTTTCCGGACATGCTAGTTGCATTGTTATGAGGGTCAATTGATGTGCATCTCTAGACAAATTAAATATAATAATCCTTAATAAACCTTGCATTTGACGAACCTCTTTCTTGGAGGAAGTCTCAAAGCACCTCACATGATTTTATTATTCAGACTGTATAGAAGTGTCAGCCTAGACTGAGTTTCAAGTCTGATGTGGTGCGTATACCCACAACCTTCTGTCTCTGAGGCGAGAGTGCTATCAACTAAGGCTTGCATTGCATATAGTTAATTTCTGTATGCTACAATTCACTGTTGAAATCTGATAAAACTGTTTAGTCAGAGCCCAGTAATATGGCATGAATGTTATAACTTGTAGTTGCATGTCGGTAGCTTCATTCCTGCAGTACAGTCACAAAAGAAATTTAAGAACAGCTGTTGATTATGTGCGCTTTATTTTTATTGTATTATGTATACATTTTAAAACGTAAAGGTAAAAACCTTTGCAAAACAGCTCAGTGATTATGTTTTCATAGCCATAAATGTTGATTAAAGAGCTCAAATGAAACCATGTTCTTTTCCAGGCGGCATGATGTTTGTATTGGTCACGAATTATCAAGTTTGCATCAGCACCCGTAGAATCCACAGTTTGCCATTTCTGCTACTTTGGAACTAGTACTTTCCAGCAGCTCAGCAAAGCGTAAAATGGATTCCAAGTCGAGTTATCCGAATGTTAGCATTCCCAGCTTTGATGAGCATCGTGAGAAAAAGAAACGTTACACTGTAAGTACTGAATAAATCTTTTTTAGAATTTCTGTAACAAATGTTCTGTGGAAACCCTTTAAATATTAAAACAGCTCTTTAATATTAAGCCTTTCCTTGGGTCAAGGCATCAAGGTTATTTTCTAAATTTCTCATTGGCTTCCTGAAGAATTTTTTTTTAGTAAATAGAGTGCATAATCATAGAACTTCTCAAACAAATTCAGCTGTAAAAATGGCTAAAATTATTGATTCAGTGGTTGAACACTCAAATATCCAAAGAATGTCCCCAAAAGAATAAACTGATGACTAACCTTCGATACTGGCTGATTCTGGAGAAGTGCTTTTTGTTTCACAATAGATCAACACTCTTGTCCCCATCCTTGTCCACCTGTTTGTTTTAGGAAATTACTTCCTGCAGCATTATTAGTGCTTCTCACAAGAGACGCAAATTACATCTAAAATACTGGCCAAGAGAGTATAACGCTTAACGTTATAATAAAGTATAACGCTTTATATAACGTTATATAACGTTATAATAAAGTATAACGCTTTATTTTTAAACTGTCTCTTGGCAGAGAACACTGAAATGTTCCAAATTACAGATGAGTTCCTTGTTTGGAACAAGGTTGAGTCTGTTCAGAGTTGTACAGTATTCAGTGTGGATGCAATGTTTAGCTTGATTTCTAAGTAGGAACGGAAAACCACTCTTCAATGTGAACACTCGCATCTGGTAGTGGTGATGGCTGGCCCTGGGACTGAATGATCCTGAGAGCATCCTGTTTGTACCCTGGCAGTGAAATGTTTTTTTACACCTCTATTGGTGATTTCCAGGATCTTTGCAAAGTCTGAAACTTAAACAAGGTCAAAATTGTGGCACTCTATTCCTAAATACATTCAGTTTCTTACTTGAGAAACAAGGTTAAAATACCTTCCATTCCAACTTTGGAAATATGACAGTGCCCTTACCTGGCTGAAAAGCTCTGGGTGGCGTCACCTTGGAGTCTGGCTTTGCACAGGTAGTTATCTAGCAAATGGAGTTTGAACACGCAAACGCCATTGTAGAATAATTAACTGCTGCCAGGGACTGCTCTCAAATTCTCAATTATGAATTCCCGCTCTCTCTCTCTTTCTCTCCCCCTACCATTGCTGATACTTACCATTGAACCATATCCATGAATACAATACAAAATTACAATTATAAAGTGCCTTTCACGACAGGAGGACGTTCCAAGGAGCTGAGCAGTCAGGGAGTCCAGCCATATCTCAGTTGAGTGAGTGGGGGAGAAAAAAAGAAATAAAGAGAAGTGACTTGACAATAAATATACATCCATTGATAGGATAGTCGCAAGAAGAGTGAAAGGAAAGCAGCTTAGCCCAATTTTTTTTTCGCTCTTGAGTTGTTGGGATGTGGAATGCCCTGCCAAGTAAAGTAGAAAAGGCACAGTCTATTGTGGGTTTTAAGAGGGAAATAGACAGTTATATGAAGGATAGAGGCTTGAAGGGGTGTGTGGATGAGGCATAAATTATACATATTATGTATTAATAATAATATAATGAACCTTGCATTTGTTATAGCGCTTTATCATGTTGTTGAGGCGTCTCAAAGCACTTCACAGATTATAATGCAAATGTAATGTAAATTAGACTGTATTTTGTGGGCGAAACGGCTTGGATATGAATATTATTATTCCTTCCGAGCCATAAATTTCAATGATCTATGGTATGAAATACTAAAGTAAGTATAGTACCAGAAATCCAGGTTGTTTGGATATCAGATCTCTAGAGGAACAGAGAAGCAGGGGATCTCTGTGTGTATCAGAAGCTGGAATGCTAGCTGATTTTCTACCCCGATACCCACTAGCCTAGAGGTATTGAGGTAGGGTGACCATATGTTCCCGATTTCTGGGGATAGCTCCCAGATAAAGTATTGTGTTCTTGGCAAATTTGCCCTGTTTTGTGTTCAGCAGCAAACTGAAAAGAACAATAAAATTCTAAAACAGATACACTTATCAGAGAAACACAGTCAACAAGGTTTTCCAGTACTGTTGGCATCAGGAATTGTGGTGAGTTCAATATTTTTGTGTCTCCCCAAATTTGGTTTACAAACTATAGTCACCGTAGCCGAAGCTGATTGTAGCAGATCCAATTGCTGCTTAGGCTGAGATCAGCTGAGAATTTGAACCAAAAGTCTGTATAGATATGTGTTCTATAGGGCAGCGCATTTATCCACTCTCCCAATTGTGCCCTGCAAAATAAATAGTTGATTCACAAACTGGTAGGTCACTTAATGGAGGACTGAAACCCATATGATCGGTGAACATTTCTATCTGATCAGGCATGCAAACAAAACAGTGCTCTGATCTTGACATTCCTGCCTGAGGTGGTGTCTGAATTCCACCTGGCTCATCAAGTTACTAGTCTGCCTTGTTTTGCTGCTGTGTGTGAGTCTGAAATTGAATATTAGTTATGTTAAGTCAGTAGGCACACAGGATCTTTCTGCTCAGATTGAGACGTGTCAGAAAATTCACTGCAGTCCCATTGAAGTAAAACCTTTAAATCAACTGATGACCAGAGGTTGGTGGAATGTATTCTAGATGTCTGTGAGCTGATATCCAGGTGTTCTCTTGGTAAAATGTGAAAAGAGCTGTTTTATGATTTTTAGTTTTGCTTTCTTTTGTAACAGCTTTTTCCTCCTATCTGCAGGTCTACAAAGTGCTGGTAACAGTGGGTAGGAGCGAATGGTTTGTCTTGAGACGTTATGCTGAATTTGATAAATTGTACAACACAGTAAGTTTTTTTTCTTAATTGATTTCCATTTCTAACCTTTTTGAAGTCTGCCAAATGCATTAAGTGATTGGATGCAATGTCTTGATTTCCACTTGTAATGCATGGCAGGTTGTTGAGAAAGCGAGGAAGATGAATATGGAGAACAGAAGGAAAATTACTTTTTTTAAAACAGTTGTGCAATAGTATCATGTTTCGTTTGTATCCATAATTGAATGTCCTCCTTAGCCTCCGTCAAGTCCCGCCTCAAAACCCTCCTCTTCGACCATGCCATCGGTCAGCCCCTTCCCCTCCCCTCCCTTCTCCCTCCCTGACCCCTCTCGGGTCTGAAATGCTGGACACTGTCCAGTGCCTTGGGACATCCTCCCGACATGAAAGGCGCTATACAAATGTAATTTTGTTGTTGTTGTTGTTGTTGTTTGACCAAACAAACTCATTGCCATATGCTTGTATAATTTGTTCATGACCACATTCAATCAGAAACTTTATGTACTTGGGCTCTATATACTACAGCAACTATAAATTGTATTTATATTGCACCTTTCATGGTGGGAGGACATATATCATAGTGTCTTGAGATGTATGGAAACCTAAGATTGCCAGCTCTCTCAAACCTAGGGTACTTCTAGGTGTACCCTGAATATTCAATCCTTCAGAAACTTGCTGAAATAATTCTTTCCTCATTTTCAAGATTGCTTATTTGTCTGAAAGTGGTAGTGGCTGTGTTGTTGCATTTGTTGTCTCAAGTATTCAATCCTTCAGAAACTTGCTGAAATAATTCTTTCCTCATTTTCAAGATTGCTTATTTGTCTGAAAGTGGTAGTGGCTGTGTTGTTGCATTTGTTGTCTCAAGGGTTGTAAATTATAATGTCACCTGTAAATTGGCAGATATCATTTTATAAGACTTTATGATGTAGTGTGTTCTTCATTCTGAAAATACTGCAGGGAATGTGTTGTGTGTGTGGTGGAAAGGCATTTCACCACACCACAAAGTAACTGACTGCTCAACTAGGACTGTGCTTCCCAATCTAGGGAAAACATCTGAAGAATGATGAAGTCTTCAATCTCTGTCTCAGCTCCAGACTCTGCATTTTCTTCAGCTTTCTTCGGCTTTTCCTCCAGCCCCCGCACTGTCTCGTGCGGTGTCCCTCAGGGCTCTGTCCTCGGTCCCCTCCTCTTCACCCTCTATATGCTCCCCCTGTGGTGACATCATCCGCAGATATGGGGCTAACTTCCACATGTATGCGGATGACACCCAACTCTACCTTTTCTCCTCTACCCTCAACTCCACGACCACCGATGTCCTGACAGCCTGCCTGTCCGACATCGAGTCCTGGAGGAAAGATAACTTTCTTCAGCTCAACGTGCGTAAAACTGAGGCCCTCCTGATTGGCTCACGTCAGCGCCTCCGCACCTCAGGCGCTGACAGCATCAGCATCCAAGGCTGCACTCTCCACCTCTCAAAGCCAGTCAGGAACCTCGGGGTTCTGTTCGACCCTGAGCTGTCCTTTTTTCCTCATATCCGCGCCACAACTGGCACCGCCTTCCATCACCTCCGAAATATCGCCAGACTACGGCACTACCTCACCCCTCACGCTGCTGAAACTCTGGTCCACGCCTTTATCACCTCAAGGCTGGACTATGGGAACTCTCTCCTCGTCGGCCTTCCCGCCACCTCCCTCCACAAGTTGCAGGTCATTCAGAATACTGCAGCTCGTGTACTGTCCCGCACCAGCTTCGTGACCACATCACTCCCACCCTCGCTCGCCTCCACTGGCTCCCCATCCCCCAGAGGATCGAATTCAAGATCCTCACCCTCACCTACAAGGCCATTCACGGCCTTGTTCCCTCCTACCTCTCTGACCTACTATCCCCCTACCTACCTGCCCGTACCCTCCGTTCCTCTGGCTCCGGTCTGCTCCACATCCCCCGCCCCAACTGCCCTACCATCGGTGGCCGGGCCTTCAGCCTCTCAGCCCCCAGGCTCTGGAACTCCATTCCCCAGTGCCTTCGCCGCCTCCTCCCTTTCCTCCTTCAAGGCCGGTCTCAAGACCTTTCTCTTTGACCGTGCCTTCAGCTCCCCTCTCGACTCTCTACCCCCTCCTCGCTCCCTCCCTTCCCTCCCCTCACCCTGACCATTTCCCCCCTCTTCGCTCCTTCCCTCCCCTCACTCTGACCATTTCCCCCCTGCTCGGGTCCTGACCCAACTGTACAACGCCTTGGGACGTCCTCCCGACGTGAAAGGCGCTCAATAAATGGAATCTTGTTGTTGTTGTTGCATAGCCATTCTGAGATGCTACTCTGTGTGAAGGGCTCTACATAAATCCAAGTTGTTGTGTGGTGTTTTTATTGTTTGTGTTGTGTGGTGTTGCATTGCAGAGAAGATGATCCCAGTCATGAGGGTCAGTATTTTTTTTAAAGAAATTTTTAAATCCAAATTTCCTGAGGATTATGCCTTGAAAGACTTTATATCCGAGTTTACTTTTTGATTAGCAGAACCACAAGAAAGTAATCTGAAATAACCATGAAAGCAAACAATAGCCAGGAAACCACAAAGTAGCAGTTGATGCAAACTTATTTCATGCTGTAGTGAAAAGATTTTTTTTATAGAGAAAAGATATCTTGGCAAGAAGTGTATTGATCAGGGTGTAGTGGGCTGTGTTTTGAGAGCAAGCACCATCCTGCTTCAAGTCCTTCACCCCACCATCGGTGTACAATCTTTCAGCTTTTCTGCCCCCCTCTCTGGAACCCCATCCCAAAGTCCCTCTCCCTCCCCCCTTCCCTCCCCATTTTTAAAGTCCACCTTTTTTTCGCCATGGCACGATTGTAAAAGAAAAGGGAGTTTCTCCTGGTATCCTGGCCATCAATTCCACAAAATAACATTGTTTATTAACTTCACGGATGTTTGCTGGATATATGCAAATTGGTTGCCACGTTCACATATAAAATAAAGTTGTTTCACTTTTCAGTAAAATCCTGTGAAGTGCTGTGAGACATAAAGGCGTTATATCAGTTTTGTTATAGAAGATAACAAATTGAGTAAATTATATTCAAGCTATAAATTAGCAGTGTCTTTCCGTAAAGTGGCTCAAAGGGATACTGTCAAACTTGTACCATTATGTGTGTTCTCAGCTGTCAGAGGTGATTTAATTTATTCTGAAACTAGATTGGGGGTAAAATAAACTACTGGAAAACTGAATGCCTTGAAATTTAAGTAGCCCTGCAAATCCCTATTGAAGCTAAACCCACTCCCACAATATTTAAAAGGGAATTGGACAAGTATTTGAAGCAGAACAATATAAAAGAGCAGGGAACTGGGATTACATTATATAGCTGCTGTGGGGGAACTAGTACTATTGTGGAATTGATGGACCAAATAGCCTTCTTGTATGTTATGGCTTCCAATATCCCAGTGAATTGACTTGAAGATCAATATCGTGCCTTCAAATCCCTTCACACACTTGCTCTTCCAGACCTCTGATCATTACCCTTTACATTTTCGACTAGTTTACTTGATCCTTCCTTGCTTATTCCTCACTCCCTCCACCCGAATATTGGTAACTAAGTCAACCACTGTTTTTCCACGCTCTGGAGCAATCATTCCAAATCTCTTTTCCCTCCCCATTTTTAAAACTCTTTAAAACATATCTCTGACCATGCTTTAGTTTACACTCTTCCTTACCCCCCACCACCCCCGCAACCTCCTCTCCACCCTGCTCTTTCTGAAACCCTTCAAGGCGTTCATGTCAATTTGAAAAGCAGTATTTAAATGGAAGTTGCTTCTTGATTCACTGTGAAACTCCTGCTCAGTTGCCTGTGCTGATCTTGTAAAACATGTTTGATAACACTTAAGGGTCAACAGAAACTATTTGCATGATTAAATTTGAATGGATGGGGTGGGGGAAGTATTATAAGAATTCTGGCCTGGGTATGTATAATCTGTATTATAAGGCGCTATATCAAATGCAAGGATTATTATTTTATTACATGACATTTAAAGACTATAAATGTAGGGATGTTTTCTTCTGTAATCTGGTGGAATGGTACCATTAACTTTTGACAAAAAGGTGTTGTTTTAAGTTTAGCCTGAGATGGATAATATTAATATTACCATATAATAATACTATTAATATTATGATTGCCAAGTATGAGGAGAGAAATGTCAGCAACTTCAGACTGCAGTAAAACAACAACAACAAAATTCCATTTGTATAACCCGTGGAGTTGAACCTTGTTTTAGAAGTCAAACGCCAGGTGAATTGTGTCAAATTTTAGACATTGTAAATCCTGCTATCAACAAATGATGTGCAGTTATCTTTTGGGACATTGCTGAAGATCAAATACTTTTACTTTTGAACATGAACTCTGGGTACTTGCAACAACCAGGATTATATTAGTACCATTCCAGCATCAAGTTTCCTCATCTGTTACCTTAGTATCTTTATTCCCCCAACAAAAGTGTGTTTCATAGTCTATATTTAGAAAGCCGTTCAAGTATCCCAGGATGACAGCTCACATGCTAAACTTGGAATTTAAGCCACCCAAAGATTAATCACAAATTTAATATTCACTTATTTAAATGAGCCACTTATGCAGTTATGCTACTCATGCTATAAGCATGCAAAGTTTATACACGTGTGCTATGGTAAGATAAAGATAACATCTTAGGAGTGATTTTGCTCCATAAATTATCTAGAAATCCTGACATTTGCCACAAGAAAATCAAATGACCTAAAAAGTTATGAAGCGTGAATTAGATCACGACAAAAGATCAAAGCTGTGCTGCTTACCTTCATCATTTACTGAAGAGGCCAATGCAAGTGTGTACCTCCTACTATTCTGAGGTCTTTGAAACATCTGCTTATTGCTAGAATTATTTTCATGTCATTTTCTATTATTCTGATTATAGAGTGATTTACATGAACACCAACAATTATATCTTGCAAACTACTCACATCTTTTTTTTGTGTTCCACATCAAACGAGTTGTGGTTGTCATTGTTC